GGTCAGCCCACCCTGGGAGTGGGGCTGGCATGGCATGTGGTGCTGGGGATCGAACCGTAGCCCCTGTGCTTGCCTAAACTTGCCTAAAAAGGTGCTTTAGACCACTGAGCTATCTCACCAGCCCCAAGAACACAGTTCTTGATGTCAGGTAATCTGCATGCAAATCCTAGCAAAGCTTCTCCAGGACTATATGATTTCTCCAGGAAGTCATTTCACCTCTCTGAGGTTCATATATTTTATTTAAAGAAAAAGATTATAATAGAAGCTATCTAATAGGGTTGCTATGAATGATAGATGATATAGATAAAGACCTTGGCATGGTGGTTGAACCTAGTAAGCACTGCATAAATGTTATCTATTATGGTTATCATCGTTCATGAGGAGGTAGATAAAGAGCAAGGGAGGGATGGGCCAGCAACACTGAGAGAGACAGGCGTTCATTATACACCTCTGAATGAGTACCAAGGTCAAACATGAGAAGGAAATACAGACTGTTTGCTGGCAACCCCATCACTCAGCTATGGCCACAATAATGGTGCGTAACAAACAACTCCCAGTGCTGATGAAGGAGGCGAAGCAGCACTGGCCTAGCGGCAATCACCTGGCGGTGGCCAGCTGGGATTTGGGTGTGCTAGGCTGGGTGCTGCTCTCCACCAGGCTTGGGGCAGGCTCAGGAGACAGCAGCAACCTCAGGGAAGCGCTTCCCAGCCGTAACAGAAACACACAAGGTTCCCGGAGGCTTACACACAGTGGACACATTGTCACCTCTACCCCATCTAGTGGCCAACACTAGTCACATGGCTGAAGCCAAGTCAAGGATCAGGAGCGGAAGCCCTGCCTGATCCTGGAGGAGGAAGGGAGCTGAAGTCTCCTGGCTCAGGCATCAGTCTGAGGAGGGAAAAACTGCAGCCACAGTGCGTCTACCGCTAACATGCCCAGCCGGACCTTGGGAAAGGGCCCTGCTGCCGCCCCTTTAGCTCCTTAGCGTCTCACGTCAGTCCCCACCTCAGGCTCAGTCTGACAGGATCCCCAGCACTACTAGCACTGGCAGTGCGAGGGGACCAGAGACTCACTCATGCCTCACCTCAGTTCCCATCTTCCCAACATCTGGACCTGCTCCGGGGAGCCATTAATCTCAGGCAATTTCTTTCCTCACTTGATTTGTTTATTTAAGGAAAACAAGTTGCTCCTAATTAGAAACACTGCTGTTGAGATGTTCAGCACATCCAAAGCTGCCTATTTTCAGACCTTCTGCCTAAAATTATACCTGCGCTTTCAACATCTGCGAGTTTGTTCAGCCACAGCCCTGTGTAGAGGCTTCTGGCGAGAGAGACCTGGACTGCTTGCGGGGAGGCAGATTCGGGGAGCACACAGAGGTTCACAGCACTGGCAGGCTCAGGCGCTCGGAAAGGGGAACACACAGCCCCTCAGACCTGCTCAGCACTGGCCCTGACTGCTGGAGCAACACTCGGAAGGAGCCCAGCACGAGCAGTTCAGACCCAAAGTAGGCGGGAGAGCAGTCCTCCGGGTTGAGGCTGGTTTCTGTTTAAAAGTGCACGGGAGCATTTGTACATATCCACACAGAAAGGCACTCAGCCTTTGGGGAGTCCCTGACACATACCTGCAGCTTGTGCAAAGGCCACACCACCGCACACAGAGGCAAACACAGTCAGAAACACACCCAGGTACACCCAGAAACACACAAGACGAGGTAGTGCAAAACCCAACCACTCCTCACAGAAGTGCACAAGTTATGCCACAACACACAGGAACACACCTGCACACAGAGACACAATCAGATGTCCACGGCAACCAACACACCCAGGCACCAACACTCAAACACACATACACAGGGAGACATAACCACACGTGCAGCGCTGCGTACGGGCGCACATTCAGAGATATGGCTGTATCCAGAGAAAGGCACAAAGTTTACACAGCAGCACGCAGAGAGGTGTGTCAGTGTTCACAGAAACACACACGTGTGTGGCAACATAACTAATTGTGTATTGTAACACTCACAGATACACATGCTCAGCAACTCGCAAAGAGACACAGGCATGATGAACAGGTACACACACACACACACACACACAATTGAGTGGGCAATGCTATATAGAAAAACACACAGACACACACCCAGAAATACACTGAAACCACACAGATCCCTGCGCCCAAGTGGGCACGGTTCTCAGGCACACTCACTGCACGGCACACACACGCATCACTCACAAACACCCACCAGGATCTGCAGTTGCAGCACACAGAGCCCCTAAGACATGCACCCAGCAGCGGGTGCAGCCGCTCAGACACTAGCATGTCTACATGGGGCCTCCAGCACTCTCATGCACCCGCACGTGCGTGCGCGCATACACACACACACACACACACACACATCCCCGCCTGCAGTAGGTCCACACCTGCTGAAGCCTCCCTACTTGCCCCGACGCACACATGTACCCATCCTCTCTACATCCACACATATACGTGTGTATGGATGTGCACATGTACATCTTCCAACATCTAAAGACAAACACACTCAGGAATCCACTAGCCATCGCGCACACACTCCTATTGACATGACTCACACACTTAAGGTTCTCACGTGAGTCTTCCTCCCATAAGCATAAGGGCACAAGCCACACGAGAACTCACACATTCTTACACGTGTACACACACACACACACACACTCCAACAGCAGTGTAAACTGTTAATTCCCTCAGTCTAAGCCAAGTGCATAGTCTAAAGCAGCACACAGTGCTTCTGCTCCTGGTCGGCCACCACCACGTATCCCCCAGCTCCCCTGCGGCCAGTGGGGCTGAGATCTGCCCTTTTCCTGGAGTCCCAAGCAGGGACTCGGAGAGCCACCCCCAAGCTCCCACACCAGCCAGAAAGAAGTGGGAATGGTCCACTGTGTTCCCCCACAATCTCAGCGCCCCCCCCAAGGCTGTGCAAGAAGAGTTCTTTCTTGGGGTGGCTGTTCCTGTCCAGAACAGCAGCTTCCCTGCCTAAAGTGGAACAGTCCTCAGGCCCTCAGCAGATGGGGTGCTTGACAAAGGGCAGCAGGAACTTCTCTGCTCTAGGTCCCCAGGCAGCTACAAAGTTGAAGCCATAGAGGCATCTTACCACCTCCTCCTGTTGTCATGGCGACACAGCAGCTGGGTGCATCCAGCCCTCCCAGACTGCCCTGAGCTTCCCACTGGGAGCAGCTGGTCCAGCAGTGCTTTTAAGAGAAAGCTGAGAGGGGGCGGGAACTACAGGTATCAGGTGATTGGAGAAAAATGAGGACCCTGCCCCCTAGTCAGGGATCATCTGGTGCTCAGAGGGGGTGCGAGCCAGTCTCACCAGGGAGACAGCACCCAGAAGCCCATGCACAGGTCCCCAAACCAGAGAGCTGCTGTGGATGCTGAGCTCCACACTCTGCTAGATGCTGGCATTCCCCTACTCCATGTCACTCAGTGCTCCCGGCGTCCTTCGGAAGTGAGAGCTGTGACATTTCATAGAGGAGGAATCAAAGCTTGGAAAAAGAAGTGACTGGACAAACGCAGATCTGATTTGTGACCTGGGTCTCTTCAACACCTCCTGGATTTCCGAAAATCTCCCATGTGACATTGCCCAGAGGTGTACGGTAGCTGAGTTGAGACCTTGGAAGATGCATGTCATTCCTTCCTGGTAAAGAAGCAGTAGCAGGAGCCCAAAGAGGGCTAGTGATGTGCCCAGAGTCACACAGCCAGTTGAGGGCAGATGTGACGCTCATGCTCCTGACCCTGGCTGAGGCTCTCCTTAGAGACACGAGCACTAAGCCATGACATCCTGGAGGAGTTCCTGAATTTTGGCAGTCTAAGAAAGTAGCTTGTAACCTGACCCCAGATCAGAATCCCAAGCAAGGAGAGCAGGTCCTCTGAATCCCTTCTCAGGCCCCCAAACTGTCCAGGAAGCACAAAGCAATGCTACTCCCTGAGGCAGGCACCTAGCTCCCGCCCGTGATTATAGCCGCAGGGCCAGGCTCTGACCCTCCAGCCGGGACCAGAAGCACACCCGCCCCTGCCTCAGAGGTACAACAAGTACTGACCAGCCTTCAGCTGCCACCCCAGTAAGGGAAGCCTCCAGGGGCTCTGCCACAAGGTAGCTCCCAAGTCACCCTTGAGTCTAGGTGGCCTCACAAGGAGGACAAATAATTGGGCCAAACTTGTGAGTTATGTGTGGGGCTCCACAGAACCTCGAGGAGCCTAAAGTGGGGGGAGATCACCCATATCTCCAGACTTGGGGACAACTGTGCCAGGACACCCTGTCCACTCGTCCCTTCTATAGAAAGTTTGCACCTCCCCAGGCACCAGTCATTGAGTAATCCAGGAGACTTCCCCATTCCCCCACCCCACCCCCCTCAATTGAAAGCAGCCTCTTGGAACTACAAGGAATGAGAGGTGACCTCCACCCCTCCTAGCGGCTCTGCCAAGGAGGTGAGCTGGCTCCTGGGATGACACTTGGGGCTGCTGGGAGGGCTGGAATGGGGACAACTCGCCCTGCTTTCCCTTTTCTTACAGACTCACACCTCAGAGTGGACATTCCCAGGGTGCAAATCCCTCCACCCACACCTCACAGAGCTAACTTGTAAATATGACCTGCTTCTTCTCCCCGGGAGCTCCCAGCCCCCTGGAAGGGGTGATTCGCGTGCCCAGTCTACAGACCCTGCCTTTCCCCTGAGGAGCTCGGTTGAGAGTCCTGGTGCGCAAGCGTGTGCGGGTCACAGAGATACCCAGAGCAGGGACGCCCGGATGAGCCAGCACGTCCCACCCTAGGCAACAGGAAAGTTTGTCATCTCCCAGGGCTGGGTTGGCGCATCTCTGGGTTCCTTCTCAGGGGCACTGGGCGCTGAGCCCCGGGCTGCGGGAAAGCGGCCTGGACGGCAGCCCCGCCTGAGGACAGGAATCCTGCGCAGCAGCCCAGTGCCCGGCTCCCTCCTGCAGCCTCCCGACAGGTCCAGGGCCCGAGCCCTTACCTGAGGAGTCCCAGCCACTTGCAAACTCTACCGGCACAGCTCAGCCGGCGCCCGGGGTCCCTCTCCGCGCCTCCCACGTCCGGCTTGGCGCGCCCGTTTCGTGGGCGCCGTCCCAGCTGCCAGCTGCTGCAGTGCCATCAAGGGAAGCGGAGCCCGGCTTTCCTTCCTCGCCACCCAGGGTCCTCCAGCCCGGCCCGAGGCTATCTCTCCCCGACCGCTGCAAGCGGCATCCTCCGCGCTGCCAGCGGGAAAGTGCGAGAGCGTGTGCCCCGGATTGCAGCAGCGGCGGCGACAGCGGTGGCCGGGGACGAGGAGGCGGTGGCGACGCCAGCCGGCGAGCCGGAGAGGCGGGCAGCGGCAGAGGAAGTGAGAACCCGGCCGCCGCGAGCCTGGAAGGCGGGCGGCTCTGCGGGTGCCCCGCGCCGCCGCGAGGCCCCGCGCAGGACCCGCCCCGGGATGCGGCCGCCTGGCCTGCCACGCGCTGCCTTCTCGCCGCCTCGCCGGCTGCCCAGGACTTCGCGTCTCCAGCCCCAGCTCCCCGCGCCGCCGCCAGCAGCGCGCTTCAGCCCGGCGCGCTCCTCGCTGGAGCCACAGCGCTGCCTCGCGTTTAACTCCTTGCGCGCCACCTGGTCTTCCCCAGCCTCGCGTGGACCTCTTGGCCAGGGCCTGGCTGTGCGGAGCTCCTGGCCTCAGTCTCCTCGTCTGTGAAATGGGCTCGAGACCCACGTCTTAGAGTGGTCGCAGAATTAACTGAGATCGTTACGCAAGGGACCAAGGTGCCTGGCTTTGAGCTTTTATCACCCCATAGATGGCAGAGTGTTTGCTGCTGCCGCTCACAGGCTGCCACACAGAGCCTTGCAAACAGTGAGCACCCCAAAAAAGGACAGTATTTATTTATTGGGGTTAGTTTGTTGTTTCAACAAGCTGTAGGTTTTAGCTGTGTGACCTTTGGGGAAGAACTCTCTCTCTCTCTCTCTCTCTCTCTCTC